ACGTCGTATTTCTTTTTCTAAAACGACGCCGTTTTTCCTTTTCCAAAACGACGCCGTTTTCTCCCCTCTGCAAAACGACGTCGTTTTTCACTTCTCTCTCCCTCTTTTTTTTTTCTTTCTCTTTTTCGAATTATTACAAAATTAGTAGAGAAACTCACTGATTTTCAATATGTCAATAATTTATTATTATTTAAATTAAAAAAATTTAACTACAGTATAATATTTATTGTATTTAAAAATATAATTAATTTTATTATGACAGGTTGATCAGTGCATTAATGAATTATATTTTTTAATTTATTAAATTAAATACTAAAAATTGATTATTACTATCTCATAATGTATTTATAAAAATAAAATAAAATATTCCAATACAGAACGTACGTGAATATACAAAATTGATTAGTTTGAAACCAACATAATTAATTAAAGAAAACATGAATAATAAAAAATTAAGATCAATTTCATCTGTGATTAGTACTTTACACATAATTAATGTTATATAATAATTATATTGGAATTACAACTTGATATGCGAGAAATATTTGTCAAACCACCTATTTTAGACATATTCTCTCATTAATAATTTTTTATTATAATTATAAAATACTTTTTATGAGTTTGATTAACAATTTTTATGTATTAGGATTAATTTAGTTCAAGTAAAAATGAGAAATATTTACATTACAATCAAAAAAAATTAATTAAATGATATATATATATATATTAATTATAATATAATACAAATAATTTTCAGATAAGAATAAACCGGAGTATAACTTACGTGAAAGCCATGACTTTTTTATTATTTAAACCTCATGTTAATATATAAGCAAGTTTTAGCGTTTTAATTAAAAATGTTAATTCGTTTGGACTTGGCTTAATCATGTGTAACACGAATGTTGTAAATAATATAAAATTAAAACCATAAAAAGTCAACTTATCCTAAAAGCTTTCCATCTCATACTCAGCCCGAATTTCTTGGCCCATGGGCTCGGGTCGGGTTGCTCCGTGGTGCTCTTAATAGAACCCGCGATTGGTTCTTCTCCTCCGACGTGGCGCTACAGTCAGCGCTAGTTTTAACCGCGCGTCAGCGCGTGTAACGGTCGTTTTTAAAACAGTTGACCTCCACGTGGCATCATATTAGCCAACAGCGACGCTACAGTACGTGGGGCCCGCACGTCGAGAAATCCAATGGCCCGCAAAACTCCACAAAAGATCAGAACCATTCAGATTGCTAAAAATCAAGAAGTGTTGTTTCCGTGATATTTCGAAGGAGGGCCACACCTGCAGGTGCACCTGGACCACACACTACACGATTACTTTTTGGTTTAAAACGATTCACTACCAAACACGTGTCGGCATGTAAAGTGCTCAGTGGCATTCGCGTAATTTAACATCCAACCAGTGACATTTTCGACTAAGTGCCTCTTCTTCTTCCTCCTAAAACCTCGGGTTTCCTCTCCTTATAACCTGCTCTTCGAGGCTCACTACTCTCTCTCTCTCTCTCTCTCTCTCTAAGAGTCTTTCCCTCTATCGCTCTAGAAACCTTCTCCTTCACTAGCCGCCACCATGGCATGGCTGAGCCACCTGCGAGGAGCTGCATCGTTTATGAAGCCAAGTCGCATCGGGCTCCTCGCTAAGAGCCGCGGCTACGGATCGGCAGCTGCTGTCGAGCTCGACTACGACTCCGAGGATGAATACTCATACTACGAGGAGGAGCAGCTGAATCGGGTTCGGGTACAGCCGGAGCCGATGCTAGGTGTGGCGGCGTCGGCGCCGGGAAGAGGAGTGCAGTGGGTGCTCATAGGGGAGCCTGGTGTGAGGCGACACGTATACGCCGAGGGTTTGTCGAAGATTCTAGAAGTTCCTCACATTTCCATGGGTTCTCTTCTTCGTCAAGAGCTGAACCCTCGCTCTTCTCTCTACAAACAGGTGAATGATCTTTTTCTTCTCTTGCGTCTTCGTTGTTCTTCTAATTATCTTTAATTATTCGCTGTATATGAAATAGTTTACTAAATTGGTGCTTCTTCTTGAACGTTGACTTTGTATAAGTGGTCGGTCATGGCCATTTATGGATCATTCTTGTCTCTGTTATGGGTTCAATTGCAGTTTCTGTAGGTTTTTGGTTAGTTGCCACTGATTGATTAATGATATGAAAGTTTTTGCTGTTCGGGGTGGATTAGAGTAAAAAAAGTAACGTTAGCCAATCATGCTGTAATTTGTTGTTTGATTGAGGGTCGAATGTCACATTACAACTATCTTCTTATAAATTTGGGTATATGCGTCAAATCAGTAGGTCGGTAAGTAGGCAGTCTAATTTTGATGGATATTTTTTGGTGTGTTTTTTCGCTGCAAAGACTGGGTGGAAGAAAAAGTTCATGCCTGATCAGATGGGTTTGTTTGATTTTTTTGTTAGTTACTTGGAAAGATGATCTTCTTTGGGTTAGGTTATCCTTTATTAACCGTTTTTCCTTTATTAAAAACTCATGTCTTTTAAAACCATTCCATGTTTCTTAATACTCACGGGCTTACTCATTTTGTTTTTGTTTCTTTGGTCCTATTGAATCGTAGATTTCAAATGCAGTAAATGAAGGAAAACTTGTTCGTGAGGAGGTGATTTTTGCATTGTTATCAAAGAGATTGGAGGAAGGTTATTGCAAAGGTGAAACTGGGTTCATTCTTGATGGGATTCCTCGAACTCGAATCCAGGCTGTAAGTTTCAGCTTTAGTATTGACATTTCCACCTCTCATATGTATGCCTATGACCGGTTCCCTTATAGTCCATTATGCTTGGGAACTTGCTTATGTGATTTGTCTTATCCTCTTTATGGAAAAACCAGTTATCCTACCTCTTAAGAGAAATCTTAGTTGCAAATCTGATAAGGCTATATTGAACTGTAGAGTTTCAAATGTCCTTGAAATGCTGGGTTTTTTGTTTGCAGGAAATTCTTGACCAAATTGTTGATGTCGATCTAGTTGTCAATTTCAAATGCACTAATAATCATTTGGGCAGAAAAGATCTAGGAAGTGAAACTACTGCTTGTCAAGAGCTTCTTACAGTAGGCAACTCTGGGTTCCCTGCTACTGTTGCAAACAGTGCCTGTAAGGAGAAACTTCGTATCTATGCAGAGCAGGTAAATTCTAATCTCTTTTGAGTCTGGTTATGCCTGCAACTTCCCAATTTCAGAACAATATAATGATCCAAAATTTTGTTCTGTATTTTACCCAAACAGTTGACTCTGTGGCACTTATAATGACAATTGCAAGAATTTCCTGTGTGACTGGGACATCTCCTCAGATGTATCATGCAGGGGTGGGTCATGCCATCCATGTGATTTCTTGTTGACATTAAAAAATAGAAATTATTATAAGATTTTTCTTTTCCTCTTTGTCTAATATGATTTTTGCAAATGATGCTTAGATCATCTAAATCTAATCCATCTTGCTGATCCACTTGATAATCTTTTATCTTGGTGTGTGAATTTCTTTTACCACGACTCATGTCCTTCCTGTATGATTGATTTAGTAATGTAAGCTGTCCTTAAGCTGTGAATTGTCCATATTCTTATTGGGTAAATCAAGAAAATAATGTCGGATAATCAAAATTTTCTAATTGCAAATCTATATGTTTTTAGGGGAAGCCATTGGAAGATTACTACAGGAAACAGAAAAAACTTCTTGACTTTCAGGTGGGAGTGGCGCCTGGAGAAACCTGGCAAGGGTTGTTGGCTGCATTGCATCTCCAGCACATGAATGCAGCTGGTGATTTACAGAAGCTCACAGCATGATTTAATTTTCTTGTTATTTTAGTGATGTCTTGATATGTTCAAATTTTGGGACAGTAGTAACTAGTAAATATGTATAAGTTGGTGAGTGAGTGTTAGAGCAAGTTGGTGTTTGCAATGCAAACATCCAAGATTGCTTGGAAAATTTTGTTTCTTTACATTTTTACTTGAGCAAGTTTTATGCAGTTTTGAGGATGTAATGTAATTTTTTCGAGAGACTAAAAGTAGAGAATACTAAAACTTCGGCCCTCATGGCTTGTAGTTAGCATATCGTAAGCTATATATTCTGTCTGTTGCTCCATATCTTCTGCAAATATGTCAATAAAAATCTTACTCATGGGTTAATCTTAGGGTAGCACTGATTTTAGGTTATATATATAACCGGATTGCAATTGCACTGAACTGATTTCTACGATCCACACACTTTTATTGATTTGAGGACCGGATAGAGCAGGGCAAAATGTTTCTAGCCTGAGAACGGTACACCCTTAAGCATCAGGGTTTTGGGACTACTTCGGCTAGTCCTCACAAAGAAATGGGGCTCCAAGGCAGCACTGGGCTCTAAGGAAGCCACAAGAATTGGCTCTTATGCTTTCTTTTTACAGATGATAAACCTCAGAAAAGAAAGCTAAAGAAATAACATGTATAACCAAACCTTGACTAAGGAAATTTACAACTCCTCACAAAGAAAAGGGGCAATATACTACCATATCATTCATATACATATACATATAGTCATCACATATTGTCACTCGCTGTTCGACCATATGTCACGAAGGAGTTCATATCTAACCGCATGTAGGTTGCCATTTGCTTTTGATATCCAGCAGGGTTTGGTTGGAACAGGTGAAGAAGAAGATGAAGAAGAACGAAGAGCAGAGTCGATGAAGATTGAAGCCAATGGTGAAT